CTTTCCTGGATTTTTAATTTAAAATTACTTAGTATACTAATAAAATTTGTCATGGGAGAATATATTCCATTGCCCTAAATCTGATGACATTCATGAACTGTGGTCACTATTATTCCAACGGTTACTTCTTTCTCCATTAGTATTATGCCAGAAGGCATTATAGTGTACAGATGTGGTCTTTGACATTGAGTCTAAAGCAAGTATGCAACATAAAATTTCATTTATTTTAAATAAGAATTTTTAAAAATAGACCTTCAGGCCTATTTTTGTCGTAGACATCATTTGAGAAGTGTCGCCTAATCTCCCCATTCTCTACAGAATTCATGTGAAAACCAGGGCCATACTAAGCATCCCCACCAAAAAAATGTTAATTTTTTATGTTACATTTTATAGTGAAATTGTCTTTGGTAAAATTACTCCATAAGAAGAAAATAGAAACTATAGATAAAGCAAAAAAAAAAAAATCATTTTCATTCAAAAGAATATGATATATCAAAACAACAACAACAATAATAACTAAAGGCCTAAGGAAGTAAATGGAGGGGACATTCATATTTAACTGTAGGACTAAAGGTGATGAAAATTTTTTATTCATCACTGTCAGAAAATAAGAATTAAAACTTAGTTAAATTAATGGCTGAAACAGTCTTAACAGTGTTAAAAGTGTCTGTGAACCTACCAATGATAACTCTTGCCATGTAGTGATTTTATTTACTAATTATAAGGATGCACAAGGATAATATAAAACTCCCACATTTTTCATCCTGACATTCTACAGCACACCATAACGCTAAGCCCCGTTACACCATGCATTGCAGGTGCGTCTGTGGTATCTGCATACGTGTTATGGATTCCAGACTTTGTTTCATTTCTGGGAGGAAAGAAAGCCCAGATTTGAATTTCATAGTCTTTATTCAAATACTAGTTGTGTGATCTTCAACCAGTTATTTAGTCCATCCACTTTCCCTTGAATAAAAAGTAACAAAATTAATTCCATCTAGATTTGTGAAAACAACAAATTGATTTTATAAAATGTAGTGTCTTCTTTTAAAACTCACCACTCTGTTTAATTTTCCAAGCAAAACAAATTTACAATTCTTCTTTACTCTGAAGTGGTCGAAAACAAGTTTCCAAAGATTTAGGGTCTAGACTGACTAGACCCAAACTTCGAGACTTTGTAACTTCAGAATCTTTTATGAAACCTAAAATGGGCCTGTTACATGAGTACCTTAAAATATGGTGAATACACGTGTTCAAAAAAACTGGTAAGATTATATATTCAAGGATTTTCTTTATATTCATACTAAATTTACTGTTTTGGTCAAAGGATTTGGGGAGTTTTCCAACTTTGTATAAAAAATAAAATTTAAGTTAGAAATCCAGGGGACGTAGATGATTTAACTTGTCTAATTCCTACACAGTGCAAAAGATATAACGCAAAATAACTGAAAAATTTGTGTATGTCACACAACCAATTTAAATGGCCTCAGAAACTGACTAGATCATAAAATTATAATGTAATAAAAATAACTAGCATTGCCCTGGCTGGTTTGGCTCAGCAGTTAGATTGTCGGCCCGCAGACCAAAGGGTCCCAGGTTCGGTTCCCGCTAAGGGCACGTACCTCGGTTGCGGCTTGTCTCCAGCCCCAGTTGGGGTCGTGTGGGCGGCAACCAGCCGATGTGTCTCTCTCACATCAATGTTTCTCTCTCTCTCTCCCTCCCACTCTATTTGACAATAAATGTAAAAATATCCTCGGGTGAGGATCAAAAAATAATAATAATAATAACCAGCATTTACTAAATTCTTGCTATTCACTGATTCCTGGAATTTATTGTGGAATTTAAGCATAGTGGTATAGTATATAACTATAATTTTTTTCAAATAAAAATTGGGTATTGCATAACACTTATATTTAAATTTTATAATTATACATTATGTAGCAAGAATAAATGCTAGCCAAAAACTTGCCTGGTAACATAAATAGAAGTTAGGACTTAAAAAATATTGGAGTGTATGAACAATACTACTTATCCCAAGTGATTTTCTTTTTAAAGGAGAATATAATTTCCTATAGAACCAAGAAGTTATTTTAAACTTTTTGGTCTGAGATGACACTTTCTTAGCAAAGTGTTATCCCTAACTCACCCAACCAAATAGTCAAGTTTAGACATAAACACATTGCATAAACGTACCCTTTCTGCTTGCACGTGCTCACACACCCCTTCTGTAGTGTTCAACATCTTCTATTCTTACTAACAGCATTATCAAACCGAGCTCTTTATCCATCTGGACTTTTCTTCTTCGGTTTCCTTCTGTGAGTTTACAGTATTTTTATTTATTTTTTTAGAATCCCAGATCTGTGTTGAAACTACCATGAAATCTTTAGACTCATTTGTAAGACTTCAAATCAAATCTTAAAACGCAGAACAAAAGTAGAGGGAGAATTCCAACTTCTACTTCATATTCGAATTGGGAGAATTATGCTTCAAAACACAAAATGCAGATTTTGTTAAAAAGAATTTTAAGACAGCCGGGAAATTCACAAGTGTCAGAGACAAAATTTAGAGCAGTTGCAAACCCCAATCGAACTAAACTTTAGTTTCCCATGAAGGTGGGTGTGTGAGAGAGAATTACAGCAAAAAGCACAACTTGAGAGAGATGTAGTCATTTTTTCGCTGTAAATAAAGGATCCTAAATAATCTCAAAACTGTAAAGAGACTAAGCAGTCCTCTAGTCCTAGCTGCTTATTTTAAGAGAAGAGACCAAACCCTTTGGCTCAGTGGTTAGAGCATTCGCCTGAGGATCGAAGGGTTGCAGGTTCGATTCGTACCTGGGTTGCAGGTTTGATCCAAGCCCTGGTAGGGGTCTTGCAGGAGGCATCTAACACATCATGTGTCTCTCTCTCTCTCCCTCCTTCCCTTCCACTCTGTCTAATAATCGATGAAAAACTATCCTTGGGTGAGGATTAACAAACAAACAAACAAAAAGCAAAAAACAAAATGAGAGAGAGACCAAGGTAAAAAGGCAGATTCTTGTGTAAAATCACACAATGAATACTTGCTAAAAATCAGTTTTCTTTAAAATACTGCTTCAGTGATCATTTTTCTCTTTAAAAAAAAGATTTTTTTATTTTGCTTTCATTGTCAGAGCAGGAGGGAGAAAGGGAGGAAGAGAGAGAAACATCGACATGAGAGAGACACATCGAGTGGTTGCCACCCACAGGACCCCAACTGGGGCTGGGGACAAACTGCAACCGAGGTATATGCCCTTAGCAGGAACTGAACCTGGGACTCTCTGGTCCATGGGCCAAAGCTCTAACCGCTGAGCCAAACCAGCCAGGGCAATTTCCTCTCTTTTTTTATTCTAATATGTATAGATAGTTCTTTTATTTTTAATCCTCACCCGAGGACATTTTTTTGCCAAATCAGCTAGGGCAATTTCCTCTCTTTTTTTATACTAATAAGTATAGATAGTTCTTTTATTTTTAATCCTCACCCGAGGACATTTTTTCACTGATTTTTTTTTTTTTTAAGATAGAATGGGAGAAGGGGAGGGAGGCAGAGAGAGAGACATCATGCACAACCCTGACCCAGGCTGGGAATTAAAGCTGAAACAGGTACTTGTGACCGGGATTCGAACCAGCAACTCTGGCCAGCAGGCTGATGCTCTAACCACTGAGTCAAACTGGCCAAGGCAATAGATAGCTCTTAACTATATATTCCAGGAAACCATCAGACACTGTCTCTACCTTTCTACTTTTGAAGATATTAACAAGAAAAAAATCACCATAATCTGTTCCAAAACTAATGAAATGTCCATAATTGGGGAAAACGACAAGTTGCAATTAGTAAAATGATCATTTTAAACTATCAAACAGCAATTTTGCTTTTCTCAAATTCAGGGCATGAATAAAACCAGATAGTCTATTGTCTCAGCTTGTCATCCCTACCTATATAACTTATAAAGCAATATGTAAAAAATTCTAAGTTATAATTGATGAAGTTAACTACATCTCTTGCATTCTTGTTCATGCTGGTTGTTTAAAAGAAAATTCTAATTGACATTTAAATATCTCATTAGATAAGATTGCATACCTTTTAATTAGTGGAATTTTAATTAAATAGATTTTCTTTATTTTACTTGGTGTCATTAAAATTTTAATAGTCTTCTGAACTATTGTTTATCAGTGTTAAAAACAATATAGCAACTTTATTTAGTCAAATAATTTATACTTAAAAGAAAATAATTCTTCTTTTATCCGAAATACTTTACAGTGTTTTAAGTTACTTCATTGAATCTATTTTTCAGAAAATCCAGTCACATCTATTTTAACATAGTGCACAGTGAAGTATGCCATCATCTTATGATATTGATTTCTAATATCATATCAAAAAGAATAGTAGATATCAATGAATAAATCCAAATACATTTAATTTGCTTTCACAAATTTTAAGCAATATAAACTGATATCAATCATTGTGAAAAGCAATGACTATGAAAGGAAATTGTTATTGGCAAAAATATTAAAATGTATTTTAATTTTTTCAATTCTGCCATTTTAATAAATGTGTCCTAACATTTTAGTTAGGCTAAATTTCCTAAAAAGTCCATTAGTTTATTTTCAAGTTCATTAAATTCTTTCCATTTTTATGTCTTGGTATTTTAATTTTCCCAATTAAATAAAATTTGAACAATTCAAGTGGTTCAAGTGTTAATGTTTTGTTCTTATAAAAAACCTTGAATAGTATTAAAAACTACCTACACACATATGTAGGATTCTCCCCATAGAACACTTAATATCCTTCTTTAATGCTTGGTATTTTACTACTTAGTGATAACATTGCTAATTTTTCTTTTCTTTTGTGTACCCTATCTCAGACTTATGAAAGCAATTTTTTTTTTTAACTTGCATAAATCCATGCTAACAAAATTTGTTAACTTGAATTTCATTTTAAAATTGTATATCCTGATACATGTTTTTGTTTGTTTTCTTAACTAGTGAAAAAGGCCATAGATTTTAAATCTAGAGGATTTAAATTGTTTCCAGGGAAAGACAACAGCAACAAGTTTTCTCTCTGTGAGTGTACTCCTTTTTTGTTACTTTCTCTAGTGAAAGAGTGAAGTTTGTGATGTCTGTGTTGTTTGTGTGTGTTTTATAAAATTGCTTGTATATTTATCAAATTAACTGCATTAATATCTATATAACATGCATGATTATTATCCAATATTTTCTTGTATTTTAATGTGTATTTAGTTAATGGATTAACATGGTAAACTCCTGAGCTCAGCTTATTTCAAAAGGTAAACAAACTCTCTTGATCTAGTGTGTTCATAGTAATCTAGATTTGTAATTCAAGATGTGAGATAAAAAAAAAAAAAGAGTGAAATTCCTTAAATTGGTGATTTCTTGTAGGAATTTTTGTTTGAACATATCTAAATTTTAACATAATTGTTTTTCTAAAGAAAAACTTGTAATAGTAATTTTTTGTTTAAGGAAAAAAATACTCTTGATTTAAAGATCAAAACCTTTTAACTCAGTAGTCTTTTGTGAATTAATTATGAAGAACATCTATGAATCTGATTAGGAATCACTGAATTAGTGCATTCATCTGTATTACATACAGGATTATAACATTTTTAGGAGAGGTAAACATTTTTGTGATATGAACCAATAGCAGTTTGTGGAAATTCCTGCCTTGCTGCTTATACAGATAGATATAAATTTTGAAAGAACCCATTTATGACACAACATCTGACTTCTAAAATAACATGTTGGTAATAAATATGATTAGTTATTGTAAATGTGTTTTTTTTTTTAACAAGAGTATATATATTTGGGTTTTTTAAAATTTAATTGTAAATTATCAGATAAAATGAGTTTATAACTATTTCTTTAAAATTCAGTTATTAAAGTTATATCACAAAAATACTTTACCTACATGTTTATTGATTCCTATATGTAACAGAAAATGACATAAGTTGAGCAGTTACATCAATTATTGAGAAACAACTTTGGAGCCTGTATGTTATGAAAAATTTTAAGTGTCATAATTTTAAAATGTGATTTTTTCATTTTGTTAGATATGAAAATACTAAACCCAAAAACGTCAACTATCTGTTGAAAATTGTTGATCAAATTTGGTTACCTATTTGGAAATCACTTAACCATTCATTGTAAAGTGGTTAGCTGTGTAATTATGATTTCTTGTTATATATATATTTTTTTGGTTTAAAACATATTTTTGAGATTGATATGTCAGTTTTTAGGGAAAACAAATAGTGCTATAGTATTTTTTCATTAATGTTTGATACATTTTATAAAGTAAGATCATTTTCCTATAATAGAAAATGTAAACAGAAAAAAAAGTCAGATAAAATTATTCTGACATATCAAGTTCCATCAAGTTAGCACAAAATAAAAGTTAAATGTTTGCTGACTTAAATATCAGGTTTACTACCTCTATTTCTAATATTTTTTTCTGACCCATATATTTATTTTGGAATTATTAGTGGAGTTATAAAAGCTATGTCTGTTTTGCCTTTTCCTCATTTCGGCTACACTGTTAAACCTGTGTACGCTCCATGCTTCATAACGTGAGCTGGGAAATTCCAGCTATTTATGCTAAAATATATAAGCTTCATTAAGGCATAAAGATATATGTAATTCTCTATACTTGGTATATTGCCTTAGTGGCCATATATATTTTGTACATTGTTTTTGTACATGAGTTTGACGGTGATCAAGAAAGGAAACAGACATAATAGTGTATTTGTGTGTGGGGGAGAGGGGGTAAATATTTTGTTTAAAGTATATTTGCTTTGACATTGTCAAGAATGTTAATAGGCTAAAAAAAGTTAGTATGAAACAAAATGTTTAAATTTACATAATAATTAAAATATAAATTGTGCATTTATTTATTGCATTTTATGTGAGAAGAAAAACACTCTTGTTCTTCATTTTTATTTTTGAATATCACATTTCAGTCAAAACAAATTATGCCAATTTGTTCATAGTCACAAAATAACAAGCCAACATTATTTGAAATTTTATTTTAGTACAGTTTTTTTCTCAAAAATCTTTACTACAATTGGTTTTTCAAAACAGTATATCTATGATTATTTATAGAAAAGGGTTATATCATTTTAATTTTCATCATTATTATATGTCTGCTATCAAATAGGTATTTGGGTTTTTATTTCCTTGAAATCATTTATTTAACACAGGATAAAATAATTTTAAAAGGAAACCTTTTTATCTCACACTCATCTTTCAACTAAAAACAAAAATAGTAAAACTTGTGGTCTTTGTAAAAACAATCAATTCTGTTACTGGAACTGCCAGAAGTTAGCATAATTGTGGAAGACATGAAGCACACATATTGCCAAAGCATGTCTTTCCTCAATAACACCTTTAAAGTGTAAGAAACAAATTAATAAGAGATTCAGGAACTGCAGGCTGTCTTCATAGGGAGCACATGGTTGTTCAAATGGCTAGTTCTGAACCTTTTCTAATTTTAATGATTAATTGAATAGTCTCTATCCATCCTTTGTTATTTTACATCAAAAAGAGTAGGTTTAGCCTGGCCGGTGTGGCTCAGTTGTTGAGCATTGACGCATCTACCAAGAGGTCGCCAGCTTGATTCCTGGCAGGACACATGCCCAGCTTGTGGGCCAGATCCCCAGTGGGGGGCATGCTGGAGGCGGCCAATCGATGTTCTCGCTCATTTATGTTTCTATCTCTCTTTCTCTCTCCCTTCCTCTCTCTCTAAAATCAATAAAGAAGAAAAAAAAAAGAGTAGGTTTGCCAAGAAATGAAAAAAAAAAAATTATTATTTTTTTAATTTTAAAAGTAAGCCCAGCTGGTGTTGCTCAGTAGCTGAGCGTAGACCCATGCACAAAGAGGTCACCAGTTCAATTCCTGGTCAGGACACCTGCCCAGGTCATGGGCCCGATACCGAGGGGGGGGGGCATGCAGGAGGCGGCCAATCGATGTTCTCGCTCATCCATGTTTCTATCTCTCTCTCCCTCTCTAAAACCAATAAAGAAAAAAATAATAATTTAAAAAATAAAAACAAATTTTTATATTTTAAAATGTTGAACTTAGTGAACCAGAAGTCCTGCCAACTTTTCTACTAGGTTTTTCTAGAATATTCAAGTGTAATTATAAAGAAAATGTGAGGTTCTCATAATTATGTTTTTGTTTTTACTTCATCTTCTTCAAATCCATACTTTCATTCATTCGTATGATCCATCCATTCCTCAGTTCTATTTGAGCTACTTCTCCAAGGCAGCACCATGCTAGAAGGTAAAAGACTGAGCGAGCAAAGAACAGCTTTGGCGGGCAGGGATCTAAATTTTACTGGGGAGCTGAATGAGTGAAGACGCAACTTTGTGCACAACAGGAAGTTGTATAAAGTAAATTCTGTCAATATCCACGATGCTTGAGTTCAGAACAATATTCAAAAGCACTGTTTTTTTATAAGGAGGCATAAACATTTAAAATTTAATATTAAAATATCTAAGAAATGTAGCAATGTAACTAGTTGGATGAGATAATGTGGAGGTGACTTTTAGTTAGAAGATACTTTTTATTTTTTAGAGTAGATTTTGTGCTAAATAATACTAGAAGACTCAGATAAGTTGCTTAAAATGACACTATTGTACTTTGATGATGACTAATTGTATAGTGCTCTTCAGCTCGAGAATACAAATTAAGGTTCCTGTAGCATATTTTATAAACACATATAATAAAGACACTTCAATGTTATAAGAAATAACAATTATTTAATATTATGCTAAGTGAAGTAAGTCAGGCAGAAAAAGCTAAGGGCTGTTTGATTTCACTTATGTGGGATATATAACTTGTGGTCACAAACAGCAGTGTGGTGATTGCCAGAGGCAAGGGGTCAGGTGGGGGTGATGGGGGCCTAATATATGGTGACAGAGGATGATTTGACATTGGATGGTGGGCACAGTGCAATATACAGATCTTGTAACAGAAATTCACACCCGAAACCTATATGATCCTATTAACCAATGTCACACCAATAAATTTAATTTAAAAATTTATGAGCAATGACAATTACTTAATTTTTAAAATGCTATCAATTTTGTCCTCTCTTTTTTTCCCACAGATGTTGGGGGAAAAGACCTAATTTTGAAATAATAGTAATAATAATAATAATAACAATGTCCTTAAAGATCAGAGCAAAAGGGTATTCCTCATAGTGATACTCTTTTCAAGAGGTAACAAACAGCCTGTCTGTGTATTTAAACTTTTAAACAATACTTATCTTCTTACCACTCTGCAAGTTACTATTCACATTCAAAGAAGTAAAAGTCTGTTTCATTGCTTAAATATGCTTATGTAGTGAAAGCAGTTGATTAAATGAAAACAAATTTCATTTGAAGGTCTTGGCATCACTAGCTCTAGCCAATTATGAAATATCCAAATTTCAGAGAAATGAGTGATTATACATTTTTTCTTTATTTTTAAAATGTTTTTAATTAATGAACATTAAATATATGTATCATGCAGGTCTCTTATCTTTACATTTTAAATTGACGAATCTTTCCCACGTTGTAGATGCCCAGAAACAGTGGTCTAAAGGACACTTCCAATGACTTGACAATTAAAATCATAAGACTTGGGACTAACTAAGTAAAAGTGGTAGAAGTTATATACAGGCTGTGCATATTATAACTTAATAAATATATATTTATTGCTATATGTAATATATTTATTTATATTTATTATATATATTTCTTTACATTAATAAATAAGTTATAAATATGCTGTACATTTTATTTAAGATAAAATGTTGGGAAAGTGTTTTGAATTTTAATTAATGAAGCTGTTTTGTCCTGGTGAGATGCCTACACGGGTATAGGGCTCAAGGGTTAGGAGGAGAATTTCTTGACTCGATCTGCTGAGGTTTGAACCCAGACTAAAGCATTGGGTAACAATATGTCTTTGAAAACCTTTCTAACCTCTCCATACCTCAGCTTCTCACCCGAAGGAAGTGCACACTATTAGTAGCTACTCTTAAGATCGTGTGAAGAATAATTAAGTTGGTACATATAAAACAAATGTAGAATAGTTCTTGACACAAAATGCTATGTAGGTGTTAGCTAGTATAAAAATTCATATAACCTAGGCTTACTTTTTGAGTAAAAATGATGAAGAAATGGGGAAAAAAGATGTTTTTATTTCTAACAATATGTTGACAAGGTAGTTGTAGAATAAACTATAATCCGTTATATATTGCAATATTAGGTACATAAGTATAGTCATACCACTTATTTTCATTATCGCTTGTTATATAAAAAGAGGGATTTGAATAATCTGGAGAAAAATGAGAAATTGGATTTTGTAAAAATTGCTGCTTGAGATGAGTCGTGAAAATTAAATAGGATTTTAAAGTGGAAGGAAAGGAGAACACAAGGCATGGACTGAGCAAGGCTAACCAGTAAAACTGCAGAATGACAAAGAATCGCTTGCACTTGAGTTGTAGATGCGTCTTGATGACTAGTGGGAAATATAATGGCTATACTAGAAATCTAGAATAACAGGAGACTTGAACAGTAATGCAAACTGTGTTTGAGGGAGTTTAGTCCTCTAATAGGTGAGATGAATTGGAGATGAAAATGGAGTCACGAAAGCATCCTGATTAGGTTGGATTTGAGCGTGCACATGAGATGACAATAAGAAATTTTTGGTTTAGTAAGTCAATAAAGGGACAGGAAAGTAAGTTGGAAAAGATGATAAAACCACAGATTGAAAGTCATTAACGAAGAGGTAATTTTTCAAGCTGTGAGGGAAATATAAAGTATGGATAACTGTGGATCAGTGTCTTTGGATTTGACCACTGTATATGATATCAGCAAAAGTAATGGAATAGTCACACACACACACCCCAAATACAAACAAGCAAAAAACAGAAAAGTATGTATTAAGTAGCAAGTCAACAGACTAAGGAAAGCATAAATATCACATGCTTTGCATGGACCAGTGAACATGTAATAACGTTGGCAATAAGGGTACTACTATTGGGGCTATTTAAGAAAATAACTTTTATAGAATAAAGACACAAAAGTAAGATTTAATATGTAATTGAAATATGATGACTTTATGAGAGTTATGACTCTTGGGCCATCATCTAACAATTATCTTGCTGTCTGATAAATTAATTTAAACACATTGACTAGTCTGAACTAAATGATGCAGGGATCCAGTGGAATCACCTTGAGTATTACTTAAAAACAAAATCAAACAAACAAAACTGATGCCCAGGGACCTACCATAGTATAAATACATTAGAATATCTGGAGGTAGAAGCAGGCAACTTATTTTTTAAAGAAAGCTCCACCATAATTCTAATCCATTGTGAAAGATGAGAACAATTGCAAAGTTTATATTTTTTATTTTCTGAAATATCGACTCAGATTCTTTTCTTTTTATACATTTTTAATTTATTGGAGTGACATTGGTTAATAAAATTATATAGGTTCCAAGTGTACAATTCTATAATACATTGTCTGGATATTGCATTGTGTGTTTACCACTCAAAATCAAAGCAGAGAAATTGATGAAGAGGAAAATAGAAGTTATTCTTGTTTACTATACAATTGAATTTATGAAACAATATCACTCAGATATTTCAGAACTATCTGGTTTAATAATTTTTACATTAAAAAATCTACCTTGGAAATTTATTTATCCAATGTAATCACATTCACTGAACATATTAATTAGTATTTCATTAACTGGGTGTCCTGAAGAAACCACTGAAAATGTGTACAATGGCTAAATAAAATGTAGTCATGAACATTGCTAGAGGGTAAAGCCATTATTTTGGATTATAGCATTCTACCATAATTCTAGGACTTGCTTGGTAATTTGAACCATAGTGTTACTTTCATATTTGTAGAACAAATTGCTTTGTTATAGACTATAGAAGAAATACTAATAACCTTAAACTGTTTCATAGTATCTTATTTTTCTATTGCAAGTTAAAAAATAACAGGTACCCAAATTACATTGTTATAACTGGTGATGACTTCTTTACCGCTAATAATTAATGGAAACTCTGGCACTGGGGATGCATTTCCAGAGAGCTTACAATTTAATAGTAATTAAAAATAAAGCTTTAACTGTTGCTGTGTTAATATCATAATAGTATGTCATTGAAATATGAACATCAAACTTAATTATTTATAAGTCTACAAATAGAAAAATTGATTTTGTATTCATTATTAGGTTATAGAATTATATTTTAACATTCTGTACTTAAACTATAATAACAAAGTACAAGAATTCATTTTATGTAAATTTAAAAATTAATATCCTTAATTCTCTAATTATATGTGTTTTGATTCATTTTCTTTCTTTCTTTCTTTTTTTGTTGTTACAGTAAATGAGGGAGGTATTAAAACAGCTTCCAATTTATGTCCAGATCCAGGTGAACCAGAAAATGGGAAGAGAGTTGGATCAGATTTTAGGTAATGTTTTAAATTGCTTATTTCATTATTTGGTTAATTCTTATTTTTATTTTAAAAATAACCATATGGAGATGAAGACATGGTGACTTACAGCTATAGCAGCTAGATTCTGTGGATGTGTTACTGTTAATAATATTTCATTATTTTAGTGTTGAATTAAATAACATCACAGAGCACCTTTGGCATTTAAATGTTTAAATTCCCATCATGTACTAGGTGAAAAGTACATGGATTTAGATTTGAAAGACATGAGTTTGAAAGACATGGATAGGATTTGGATTTGAAAGACATGAGTTTAAGTTTGAACTCTACTGCTTAGTAGTTGTCTGATCTTCGGTAAGTCACACAGTTCTGTTGGTCTAATTTCTTCCTCTGTAACATGTAAATCAAATCTATCACATGTGATGGTGAGTTTCAAATGAAGTATTGTCTGTGAAACCTTCCTGCAAACATTTATACCTATTTTTTAGAAGTAAACATAACTTGAATATAGCTTATCTCCATCTTTAAGTAGAATTCATTTCATTAGTTTTAAATTAAGTTTACAAATAACCCGGAGAGTATATGTTATATATTTGGTAGCCATTACTTTAAATTACTAATAATAAATCATATTTTTTAAATCTTGAATTCAGTAGTCCTCTGATTATAGCTTTTTACAAATCAAATATGTTTTCAAATCCTATAAAATATTAAATGATACTAAGTGACTTATTAAAAATCAACTAAATCTCTCAACTTCGATAATTAATAGTGATTGTTTATAGACTACAAAATGGTAAGCAATTTACATGTCTTCTTTCCTTATTATAAAATCCCATCAGGTATTTACTATTTTGTCCTCAATTTACAAATGAGAACATTGAAGCTCTGTTTACCCAGCTAATAATTTAATGGAATTTGAATTCATTACTTCATGAATCTAAAACCTGATCTTTGAATCACTATATTACATTATGCTTTGAAGTTAAACTTTATTCAGATCCCCATCCTTGCCATGAACTATCTTGGCTTCTTCAAGATTGATGTCCTCAGATCTAAAAACAAACATAGGGTTTGAGGGGAAGATTATATGAGATAATGTATGTATGGTAGTAGTCAGAGCTTGAGACAAAATCAACTACAGTATGATATAACATATAAAATCACTATTATTGATATTAATATTTACATGGCCCCACTATTTGGAAAAATATATGGCTTATTGGAAATAGACTTAATATAAAAGCAATATGGTGAGTTAAATACCATCAAGTGTAGTGGATTTCAAATCTTAAGATCATTTGCCCATCACGGTTCAAGCACCATGACAGATGTTAGGCATAAAGCCCACAGGCAGATTAAGATGTAATCGGGTCATGATAATTTGAGAATGTATGTAATGTTGTGGAATCACAGACAAGGTATGGTATTTTTGGAGACTTAGGAGATCAGGGTCACAGAATGCTGACATTGAACTGGGTCCTAAAGGATTACTAGAATCTGGTATAGGTGGGATGAGAAATTTAGAAACATTGTTATATTCTTTATCTACATATAGTTATTGTTTGTCCATTATGTGCATGGCCTTGTACTAGGACCAAATAAAACACACAAAGACAGACACAGTATATGCCTTTCATAGTTCTTAAAATTTGAAGGCAGAAAATTAATAAACAAATAAACACATGCAGATGTAATCACAAATTTGGAAAAGTACTTTAGAGTAAAAAAATACAATTAAAAAAAGTGTTCTGCTTATATGCATGTACACATAACCAACGAACATGGACAACAAAGCTGGGGACAGGGTGGGGGATGGGGAAGAGGATGTCAGTGGGGAAAAAAGGAGAAAAATCTGTAACAAAAATAAATTAATAAAAAAAAAGTGTTCTGTGAGAGAGAATAATAATAATAATGTCAGAATGGGAGACCATTCAATTTAAGAAGGTCCTACTCTTATGTTTACTGGAAGAATGTTTTTCTTCCTCTTTTTTTCATATTTTGTTCAGCCATTCATCCTTTGATGGACATTTTTTTCTATTGTTGACACTATTACAGATGTCCCTCATTCCCCCCACTCTGCCCACCTCCATCCAGTCCCCTGGCTCCTTCCCTCCCCTGCCTTTCACCACACAAGGAAGGAAGAGCCTCACATTGAGAAAGAGCTTGATTAGCTGTTTCAGGAAAATAAAGGTCCGAGAGTCTGCGTTGTAGAATGTATGTGGGAGAAAAGCATAGAATGAAGTTGAAGAGATGGGAGGAAAGCCAGATCTCTGCAGGGAAGAAATTGGCAGCCGTTGGGCCTAATCTGGATTAAACAAATATGTTTTTGTTTGTTTGTTTGTTTGTTTTGTATTGTTTTTTGTTAATCCTCATCTAAGTTTTTTTTTCCCCATTGATTTTTGGAGAGAGGAGAAGGGTGGGGGAGGGGGAGAGACACATCCATTAATGTGAGAGAGACACATCCATTGTTTGCCTCCTGCACGCACCCTGACTGGGCCGAGATCGAACCTGCAACCCCGACACATGCCCTTGACTTGGAATTGAACCCATGACATTTCATTGCACTTTCCAACATCTAACCCTGAGCCATACCAGCCAGGGCTATATGTTTTATTTTAAGTACACACTGTTTTTAAAATATGGGAGCTGGCATTTTAAAATCAGCAGATTTCACACACATGCGCGTGCACATCTTATTTCCTTGGTAGTCTTGGCAACTGAAACAAACGTACCTCCGTGTGGACATCTGCTGGAACCAGTGGACAGCTGCTCCCTTAGGCTGAGAAAGCTCTTTCTGCTTCACCATGATCACCTCTAGGTTACTTTGGTCATTTAGGTCACCTGCTTATTAAGGGAGGCTGTAAAGGGTTGTAAGAGGGTGGCCTGGTCCAACTTATATTTTCAGTAGATCATGCTTTATATTTTAGACGGATTGAAGAAAAATGAAATTTTTTTGTCAAAAGGCTACTGGAACAGTCTATCTGGGTGTAAGATGGTTGAGACTTAGATTATGGTGCTGACAGTAAACTAGACAGATTTAAGATATATTTTGAAGTTAAAATTTTCAGTATTCAATGATAATTTTATGTGAAAAGTAAGAAATACAAAATGATAAAGTAGATACCTATTTTTTTTGGCTTAAACCTCATGAGGATGGAGTAATTGATAATAATTTAATTGTGTGGAAGTCCGGAGATTTGGGGAGAAAAATCAAGAGTTCAGTTTTGAAATTGTAAACTTCAAGTGATGTAGAGATTTTCAAGTGGGCATAGTGTTTGTAGTTGAACGTAATTGATGTTCAGAGATAGTAGGGGACCATCAGCATTAGATATTATAAAGAATAGTAAAGCAATATGAATAGATGGTATTAATTAGACAATGTAGGAGAATCTGCGACGAAGTCTCAAGGAGCTGTGCTATTTGATGATCTGTGGAATCCAAGGCCAATCAGATCACGCTCATGAGTGGCAAGGAAATAGGAGTCAGTGATACGAGAGGGGTCTTTCTAACAGACTCTTAGATACGGAAAACAGACTGATGGTTGCCAGAGGGGAGGAAGCTTTGGAGACTGAATAAAAAGGTGGAGGTATTAAGTACAAATTGGCAGTTACAAAATAGTCATGGGGATATAAAGTACAGCATAGTGAATATAGTCAATAATACTTTAAGAACTATGTATGGTGCCAGATAGGTACTGGAAATATTGGGGGAACGCTTTGTAAAGTATATGGTTGTCTAATCATTATGCTGGTAACCTGAAACTAATAGAAAATAATATTGAATGTTGACTGTAATTTAAAAATGAATTTAAAAATTATATACTCCCCAAAAAATAAAATAAAAAGGGGTCACGGAATGTTGAATGCTATTGAAAACTTTAGAATGACAAGAATACTGTCTCGTAAATTACCACCCCCACAAATAGAGCAGAGGGACGGTTGGATGGAAGTACTGGTCTCTGCCCTGCAATTACAAAGGAATTCAAGGAAGTTGTCCTGGTGCCCTTTCCCCATAGTATACTCTAGATCTTTCTGGAATCAGGGCTTGTACAAGTCTGCAATTTACTAAACATGCAGGAAAGAGAAGGAAGTTGACCAGGAATTGAACCCACAACCCTTTGGTCCATGGGCTGATGATGATCTAACCACTGAGCCAGATCAGCCTGAGCTCATGTTTTATTTTTAAGTGCAATATCTTTTTCTCCATCGCACAAACAAATTATTTATGTAGTGGATGACTTTATTTTTTTAATGTGAGACTCCCAGTTAAACTCCTAGTGAGTCCTTCAGGCTTCATGGCTTCAGTGTAAGGTCAATACAATCAATAAACCACCAGAACTATCAAAGAAAATTTATAAATTAATTGATGACAATCAAAGTATTAGCGTCCTTCAGTCTTGAATTTTGGTGGCTAGAAGAGAGGAAATACAATTAAAGCACATTTTAGTTTTTATTTTATTAAAGTTAACCAATCCCTGCTGAAAGTAGATAGAAGTATCTTGAAATTTGAAGCCATTCAGCTCTCATGTTATCTGTCATCCTATATAAAATAACACTGACTTCTCTATTCCTTGAACTTATACTACTTTTATAGCACTGATTACCACCAATGTAATATATGTATTTGTTTACTTTTTGTTTTTTTTGTCAAGCCCAACTGGGATATTGGCCCTAACAGTGCATGGCCTTTTTTTGAAACAGCATCTATTATACTGACAGAAAGTAGTAGCCCCTCTAAATATTTGTTCTTTTAACAAACAAGATCCTAAGAAACTTATGAAATCACTAGTGTTTAAATTATGTAAAGCACTTTCAAGGCAGAACATTAGGTAAGTATAACTTACCGGTCTTTAGTTTTACTTCACAGTATGTATAAATATTATTTTTTAAATCTCACTTTGAAAAAGTCATACAAAGACTTAAAAGAGAAGAGCAAATTGAGTACAAACTAATCAAGGGAATAGTAAAAATTATAGCAGAAATAAAGAATTGAAACAGGATATTAATAGAGAAAAA